GCAGGCGCAATAATAGTTTATATCTATCGCGACAGAGTCAACAGGAGGCTGTACCGATGATTCCCACTTCTACATGCCTGGTTTACTCTCTTTTTCTGTGTTTACAGCTAACGGATGAAACAAAGAGTGCTCCCCCAAGTGTTTTGTATCTTCTCATAAATACTTCTGCATTTTTTTGAACCTAATAATTCAGCCAGCATTTCTTCGCAAGAAAAAATTAGTAGCACTTTGCAGGAGCCCGAATTTTTAAAACTATAATTTATAAGTTTATAAAGCATAAAAAGAAATTACCATAAAATGGTTGCAATAACGATGCCGGCACCAATACAATCGATAAAAACGACCCACAAGAAGAAGGCGATGAAGCCAGTGAATGAAAGCTGAATGGCCCAGGCGAACAAAATGCTCGATATGGCCAGAGCTGCTGCAAGAAGTACTAGGAATGCTGGATCATCACGAGCCCACTGATCCTTTGTTCCTGAATAACAGATAATTTTTGCAATCAAGATTCATATATACTGGTTTTTAGGTACTGGCAGAATCGGCATAACTCCATATAACCCCCTAATGCATCCTAATACAAACAGGGCCTAGTACTAGCGTCTCCGTGCAATGATTTATCTAAAAATAATCGCAGAGTTGCAATGGAAAGAAAAATGCAATGGCAAAAAATTTCAATTTCGAAGCTTTCTTGTTTGCCTAGTTTTTGCATTTGGATATGTGAAAAAACACATTAAAAAATGAAAAACGAACGTTTACGATACATGAAATTGCGGTAAACTTTTTGTGGTTTGATAAGCAGATAAATCATTTGCCATAGCGCAAATTCAAAATCCATTTGCCGGAAACGAATAAGTCTTCGGAAATAACGATTCAGTTTCGCCACTGCAGTCATCCTGACAGCTGTAAAACATCCCACACGATCCACAGATCTGCAAATATGCCCTAATTTATGCAGCGAGAAAAAACTTTACACGAAATGCTTATATGATGCACGAAATAGCACTGAACAAAGCCAGCCATCTGCATGGCTGGAGGACTAAACAGACCATAAGTTATGGCCAGTCTAAGTATTCATAGCATTTTATTACAT